GCCCGAGCGAGCCTTGGAGGGTCCCTCGGGGGGGACGTCGGACGTCGTCCGACGGCGCGGGGAAGACGAAGATGAGCAGGAGGAGGAGAAGGAGGAGGAGGAAAAGAAGGAGGAGGAGGTCGAGGATGAGGAGGAGAAGAAGGAGGAGGAGAAGAAGGAGGAGGAGGTCGAGGAGGAGGAGGAGGAGGAGGAGGAGGGGGAGGAGGGGGCGGAGGAGGAGATGTCGATTCCCGCCGGCCCGGTAGGATTCGGTTCTGGTATCTCGACGGTCCGATGCGGGCCGATGCTTGCATGGCGCTGCTGTGCATGCTGGCGCGGCCGATCCGATCCCGATTCCGATTCCGTGGCGATGCGGTCCGATTCGATGCGCGGTCCAGTCCGATCCGATTCCGGTTCGATGCGGACTGATCCTGGGTTCAGGGTGGGGGGGGTGGACGCATTGACCCCTCATCGCCCATTCATCGCCGATGTGGGCCCACCCCCGCCAGGATACAGTCAACGCGCATAGTAAGGACAAACGACTTTTTCAAGGGTACCCTTGGGTCCTTGCCTGCCTCAGCCTCTGCGGCCCGTTCCTAGCAATTTTCGCAGGCCAGTTTCTCAGGTTCCCCGGGGGTTTGGCCGCCTGCCGCCCAGAATACTTCAACTTCGGCCTCCAAGGGTCATGCGTCCTTACCACGCGTCCTTACTATACGTTTCCACTGTAATCGCCCATTCATCGCCGATGTGGGCCCACTTCGGCCAGGATAGGCTCAGTTTTAAGTCAGGCGTGTCCCCCTACAGGGGGATTTTCGACGAAAAATTAGAAATACCCCAACAATGCCACAGAAAGGTCAAACAATACCCCAAAAATAGTCCCCAGACTATTTTTGGATTATTTTTGGAGCATGTTTGGGGTATTTTTTTTTGTTTCGTCGAAAATCCCCCTTTAGGGGGACAGGCCCGACTTAAGCTCAGTTGAGGGGGACGCATCGACCGCCAATCGCCCATTCATCGCCGGTGGGGGCCCGATGGCCCCAGCCCGCCCAGGACCGCGCGGTGTCGCTATCTGGGGCCGATCGCCGAGCTGTCGGCGATGCATCGCCGATTCGAGGTCGGCGTTCCCCCCCTCTCGAGAGGGGCATCGATTTTTAGATCAGAGAATGTGTGAACAAACTATCTATTTAGATCCGAAAGCTGGAAATGTCTATTTAGATCGTCGAGGTCTAGGTAGATCGGAAAAGTTGATTTAGATAGCCTATCTAAATAGAGTGGAAAATATTATCATTGTCAGTCTCCCCCCCACGTTGCCCCTCACCTTCTCGGGAGACTGCCGATACGGAGATATGTGTATGTATATATTTATATGTGTATATATATGGACATTTTTATATACATATGCATACAGTCGGGCCTTAGCGGGGCCCCAAGCTGTCCACATCCATCGCCCCCCTGGAGTTCCAGGACATAGCTTCCCAGGCGGCAGATCTGGATAACTCCCGGCTTCGCGCTCGAGGCTTTCCAGGCGGCGGACATGGATAAATACCCGCCTCGCACTCGAGGCCTCTATCTTTTTGGCCTCGCGGTCAATCTGCTCTGTGCTAGTTGCTCTGGCTCCCCCGCCTCTTGGGATGGTGGACTGGTTGGTGAGGCATTCCAAACTGAGAGCCAACAACATTTGCGGGCAGAGGCAGCACATCCGTTACGACGAATGACGTGCTTCTGACCTGGCCTGCTCTATGGTACACTTGCACTATGACGCGATGCGTACCCCTCCTACCTACCCATAGCGCATGCTATCAGCGAAATCCACTTCCGAGCGCCCCGAGACGTTCACTTACGTTCGGAGGCATCCTGTAGTGTGTGATTTGGATGTCTGGCCAAAGCCCGCCTCGCACTCGAGGCCTACCCCTCACCTCCTCGGGAGGCGATGGATATGGATACAGTCGGGCCCCAGGTGCCCCACATCTATCCATAGCTCGTCCCTCAAACCTCTATGTGTCTATACATATACATGTTTGCCAGCGTGGGCTCAAACCAGTTTCTTTCTAGCAGTATAGATTGTGCTATCTAGGTGGGACAGTGTTGGTGGTGCAAAATACGTGGTGCGATACACGTTGTGCAATCTATGCTGTGCAATATATTGTGCGCAATAGTTGTTGTGCAGATTTTATGGCGCAAGCTCTGTGGGTTAGTCCTATTCGATGCGGTGCAATACATGTGGCGAGATCTATGTTGTGCAATTCACTTGCCTAACATGAAGTTGCCAACTCCACTGCTAGCGCAATCATCCCACCCACTCACCCGCAACTTGGTTTGCAAAACCCTTGCGGGAGCGATTGCGATGAGTGCTGCGTGTTGGCTGGTGCATCTCTGCGGCCGCGCTAGCCCGCGCATCTTCGCGCGCAGCGGCCAGCTAGTTTGGCGCGACCGACGCGAACGCGGAGGCGTTGACCGCTCGGCACATTCCAGCGGGCACTTCAGTGCGAGTCGGCGACTTGGGCGGGCGCGGTATCATGGCAACGTCGACACTTGTAGACACGATGGCGATGATAGTAGCGAAGTTGGTGACGATGCTGACAGCGACGACGGGGCAGCCAGTAACGGCGCAGATGTTGATCACGCCGGCGACGATGACGGCGTCCTCGTGTCGGTGACGAAGGTTTTGGACGGAATTCGAAATCCGCGCGCGGCAGACGCGCGAAAGTGGCTCGCATGGTATTATTTGACACGGATCGTGCCACCCAAGCACGTGCGCAAGGGCGTTCGAACGATTTCGACATGCGCGCGCGAAGCCCGTTTGGTAGCATTTTATGACAAAGCTTTAAGATATGGTTTTCTTAAAAATTCGCAGAAGCGCGCACGCTTTTGTTGAACTTCAGTGTTGCGATACATTGTGTTTTGTATGATTTTTGGACACTCGATTTTTGAAATCCTTCCGGAACCGAATGTTTTTGAAGTGTTCCGCCATGCGCGCGCGACGACGCGCGCGTGTACATGTCGTCCCGTTGTTTGCAAAGGATGTTTGGAAACTTCTGATGTGTGATAACGAAAGTGCGCGCACTATATATATTTATATGTATGTATGTATATATATATATATATCCAAGGGAACCAAGGGGGGTACCGATACCAGCCTGGCTGGGATAGTATGAACTCATAGGTGGGATGGGCATTGGGTCCGGATCGTATGTGTTTTGCATAGGTTCCGGGGGAATCGATGTGTCCGTCGGGGGGGAGGGTGGTGGAAACGATGTCCTTTTTAGGGAAGGGAACTCATGTGGTGCACTCTGGGTTACGCTATCTATGTGGTGCAATATAAACCCCGTCCAGCAATTCAGACCTCCCCTTCTGGTGAACCGATAACGCAGCTGACACCTTGAAACATTGCCTTGGCACCTTGGCACTTGGCCGTTGCTTACCACCCCTCTGGAGCCCCCAGCAAACTTCGAGAGTGGCGACAGTTTCGCAGCTCGCAGCCCCCCAGGGATGGGGAGGTCCCGCTCGGATCTGCGTAGCGCCGCACTAAGCTGGCCCCACCAGCAGCCTTCGAAAGTGGGAACTGCTTCGCAGATCGCAGCCCCCTAGGGATGGCGAGGTTGCCTCTGCGGCCAGTCTTTCGCGGTTTTGACTGGCCAGCCCTTCATGGTGTTGGCTTCCGCCCGTCCTTACTATAGATTTCGGGGGCAATACGTATTCATGTGTTGCGGATTGGTGCGGGGCTAAATCTTTCGTTCCGTTGAATCCGCCCCCACGGATTATTCATTTTCGTTTAGGTGCTAACGATAATCCAGGGGTGTTGTTAATTGCGTCTCAAGGTTAGGTCGTGCAATATAGCAAGGTGGTGCAATTTATGCGGTGTCATCTATGTGGTACAATCTAGATTGTGCAGCATTCGTGGTGCAGTCTATGTTGTACGATCTAGCCGACGACGGAGCGGCGACGGGGCGGCGACGGGGTGGCGACTGCGAGCACGGAGCAACCAGACCGCCACCCAGGCCCAGACGACGGGCAGCGACGAGGCGGCGGCGGCGCGGCGACGGTGAGCACGAGCCGCCAGACCGCCACCCAGGCCCAGACGACGGGCGGCGACGAGGCGGCGACGGGGCGGCGACGGCGAGCACAGAGCCGCCAGACCACCACCCAGGCGCAGTTCCTCAGACCAGGAGCAAGAATCCCTAAATGCAAGCAGTGTGTGGAACATACATGCACATCCATACCCGTACCCTTACCCATACTTATTTCCATATTCATATCCCTACCCACCGCCCCCTGGAGTCCCAGGATATCACTTCCAAGGTGGTGGGTGTGGACAACCCTCGCCTCGCACCCTCTCGACATCATGGCGTGGGCAAGAGGGCGTATGCACCGATCCAAGGCCCAAGATGGGCCTGGCCAGGATCGTCGCAGGTGTACCACCGGCGCTCCCTGATCCCCCCCTGCACTCGGGGCATCCCCTTCTCCTCCTCGGGAGGCCGTGGACGTGGATGTGCTCCCCGCCCAGGCAGCGGCTAGGGGGGGACCCAGGCAGTGGCTGCGCTGTGCCCAACCATTTCCACATCGCTTCCCAGGCAGTGGCTCTGGAGGAACCTCCGCCTCACACCTCGAGGCCTCCTCCTCTCGAACTCCTCCGCTCGTGGCCAGCCTGTCGGCACGAAGGGGCCTGGGCAGGCAGGGCTCGCCGCCTCGCCGTTGCGCCTATCGGTGGCTCAAGGACGGAGTCCCGGGGGATGGGGTCCTGGAGTCGACACCGATGATAAGGATGGAAAGCTTCCCAATGGTACCCTCGCGTCCTTGCCTCATCGGTCCATGCTTGACCCCTTTCGATGGCCAGCCCCGCCCGAAGAGCCTCGGCAGGGCCTTCCAGAGCCCCTGCACCCTCATCCTGCGTCCTTGCTATCAGTCTTGACTCTAAGGACGAGGTGCCTCGGATCCCTTGCTGTCTCTAGGACCCCATGCCTCAGGGCCCCATCTTTGACCCTCCCCCCCTCCGGGGGAGCTTGCGCGGGAGCGGCGGGCCCATGGCGCAGGCGGGACGCTTGGGCCGCATGAGGCGCGGGGACGGTGGGAGCTCCTGCCCTGAGCGGCGAAGGGGAAGGAGGAGAAAGGAGGGTGGAGGACGAGGAGGAGGAGGAGGAGGAGGAGGAGGAGGAGGAGGAGGAGGAGGAGGAGGAGGAGGAGGTGGAGGGGGGAGATGGGAGGAAGTGAGGAGTGAGGGAGGAAGGAGGGTGGAGTAGGGAAGGGAGGAGGAGGGAGGGAGGGTGGGGGGCCGAGGGTGGAGGAGGGAGGAGGAAGGGAGGAGGAGGAGGAGGAGGAGGAGGAGGAGGAGGAGGAGAGGAGGAGGAGGAGGGAGGAGGACGAGGAGGAGAGGACGAGGAGCAGGGAGAGAGGAGGAGGAGGAGGAGGAGGAGGAGGAGGAGAGGAGGAGGAGGAGGAGGAGGAGGAGGAGGGAGAGGAGGAGGAGGAGGAGGAGGAGGGAGGAGGAGGCGGAGGGAGGAGGAGGAGGAGGAGGAGGAGGAGGGAGGAGGAGGAGGAAGGAGGAGGAAGGAGGGAGCAGGGAGCAGGGAGCAGGGAGCAGGGAGGAGGAGGAGGAGGAGGGAGGAGGGAGGGGAGGAGGGAGGAGGTAGGAGGAGGAGGGAGGAGGAGGGGGAGGAGGAGGAGGAGGAGAGGAGGAGGAGGAGGAGGAGGAGGAGGAGGAGGAGGAGGAGAGGAGGAGGGGGAGGGGGGGGAGGGGAGGGACGAGGACGAGGACGAGGAGGAGAGAGGAGGAGGAGGAGGAGGGAGGAGGGGAGGGGGGGAGGAGGAGGAGGAGGAGGAGGAGGAGGAGGAGGAGTGAGGAGGAGGAGGAGGAGGAGGAGGAGGAGGAGGAGGAGGAGGAGGAGGAGGAGGAGGAGGAGGAGGAGAGAGGAGGAGGGAGGAGGAGGAGGAGGAGGAGGAGGAGGAGGAGGAGGAGTGAGTCCAGCCCTGCCCCTGCCTCTCCGTCGATCGGGTGTTGCCAGAGGTGTCCCCGCAGTCAGCCTCGGGGGCGAGGGAGAGATTAGACAGCGCCTTAGGAAAGGTCGGAAGGTGAACACACCAAAGACTGGCAAGGTTACAACAAATTATGCCATCGATTGAGAACTGGCTTCTTTGGCCTTGACTCGAGCAAGTAAGGCAGCCATTCTCTGCTCATACTGTGGGGCCACTTCACTGGAGGAAAAACCTCTGGGGACGGACGACACAGACTGCACCTCTTTCGGGCTTGCGAGAGTCGCATCAAGTCGAGAGATGGGGATGGCCTTATCCAAACGTTCCCCCAACCTTGGGTTAGGCCCTAGCCCCCGACGAAACGCGCTCAAAACCTCGAGGCCCTTAAACGTGGGTGCAGCACAAGTCTTAGCAAGTTTGATCATCCTTCCCTGAGTCCAGCCACCACAGTTGAGACACAGAAATTGTTGCTCCTTTATTTCGGTGCGTCCAGAACCCGAGACAGGACCCGAGGAAGCACCAGAAGCAGTTTGAAGAGCCGTTCCCGACACAGCAACGAGAGAATGGCCCATGGGATTCGCGAGCAACTTAGCTATCGCCGTGGGCGTGCCTTGACATCCATCAGCGGGGCGATCACCAGACGAGCTGACTATCAGGCAGTGAACACACTGAATTCCAAGCTCAGTCCGACGCCATTCGTGCCAACTACGCTTGGCTCGTGACCGCTGCTGACTCTGCGGGGCACGTCTCCACCTCAACTCATTCCGAAAAAGCGGGGGGCACGCACTGGCAAGCTTCACAAAAATCCCAGCTCTCCTCTCAGCCTCCTCAACAGATTGCAAGAAGGCAGGGGTGGGGGTGGGGTGGGAGGCCAGGGCCAACTTCGCATGGTTGTCCACAATCTTATTGGCCTGGCCGAAACGATATTCATCGCCTGCAAGCTGGTTCAACTCTTCATCAGAGCGGTGGGCCTTCACATGAAAAGCCTCCAAAAACTTGGAACCATCAAGCTCAAAAGCGAATTTTCGGATGCCAGAAAACTTATTCTGAGCCTCTAACTGTTTGGCCACAGGTCTCTGAATGTGCTGGATCACCCCAAGACAATCGAGACCGAGCCGAGTCGGGCGATCAGCGACCTGGCCACACAACGCAGCAGCAACATGCTCCGCAGCAGCTGGGCTCTGGGGGAGGGTGCCTGGAACAACGCCTCGTAGCACAGCCTCCATGTCTGTCGTATTCGGCGAGAGCAAAGCAATCGACCATGCCGCGCGTCGGAGCGGCCTAAGCATCTGCTTGGTGGCCGAGCCGTCGGCCGCGAGTTCAAGCGGCTGTCCTGGCGGAACGAGGGCAGCTAGTTCCTCGGGCTGACGGTCGAGCTCGTTACCCTGGCCATCGAAAATCTCACAGGCCGAGCTGAGGGAGGGAGGAACAAGCTGGGAGTCATCATAGACAAAGATGCCTCGAGTGTGCAGACAATCATCGGTCTGAAGGGCAACCTGCAACGACTCATTGGGGATACCTTCGCATGCAATCTCACGGGCAGCCAGCACATCTGGTCTAGTGCATGTGTAGATGCGATGATGCGGGGTATCAACCTGCCCACACTCACAACGACCACAACTAAGATACCCCGCATCTTGGGCCCTCTTCTCGGTCCAATTGGCATCACACGCTGCACACTTTAACAAAAACTGCTGCTGTCGAGTGAAACTTTTCACGCGGGGAACCATCTTGTCCCTGACCAGGTCCAGAGTGGCCCGAAAACCAGGAGGGAAACCGAGTTTTTGGCCCAAGGCCAGCTCAGCCTGCCTCTGGAGGCCTGCTTCAAGCAACTCCTGCAGCATTCGAGGTGACACTAAACTGATATCGGTGGGATTCTGATGGTGATCAATCCAAGCGCAAGCCTCGGGAGCCGACCAACCTGCCCTCTTGAGACACAAGACAACTCTACTGAGCGGGCCTCGACTATTCTTCCAGTCACCGACGCTGCTCGCATTAGCCTGTTGCCACAACGACACGAGGGCAGGGAAACTTAAAAGGGCTCTCTCGGGCGCTACCTTGGAGATCCAAACCATCCTACTCCATTGCAAGACGGGGCCCAAAGCAGCACGGACGTCCCATTCTCCAAAGAGGACCAATTTAGCACTCGCTGAAGTGCCACCGTGCATGGGCGCCTGTCGCCTCGCCTGGGTTCTGCGTATTGACGCCAATTCAGCATCCGAAAACCCCAAGACCTCAGAACCATACGACGACGCAGGAGCCAGGCCAGTACGCAGGACCCCCTGGAGGACTTGTTTTGGCTTGCGTTTTATAAACTTGCGAAACTTACTGATCTTTTTGGCACGCTTTTGCATAGCCTTCAACCTACTCCTAAGTTTGGGTCTCATGCCTTTCGCAGCGCGTCGCAAACCAGCGGCCGAATCGACTCCGAGATAAGTGACTGCCTTTCTTACAACTTTGCATTGCATCTGGAGACTTGCTGCTGCATCTTTAGCCAAGTCCTCCGATGACGCAACTACAGCAATCTTATCATTCAGTATGGCACCGATATTACGACTGACAATCTGGAAATCTTTTCCCGCCGCCACCGCTAGATCCAGAGCTCGCTGCCTGTCTGCAGCAGAGATCTGAATGGCTGAGTCATCAATGTACGACAGGAAACTTACGAGCGATGGCTGACGTGAAACAAACCAGTCGAATTCACGAACCGCGTGTATTTTTATGCACAAGTCATTGAAGCAATCACCTGCTGGAAGACCGAACTGTGCATGCATGCAATCAAGAGAGTGATGCTGACGAAGCCTCAATATTCTCGGGGCTTGCCAAACATTAAAAACTAACTTTAGCACAGGAGACGGCACTCGAAACGCTATGCATTTATCACGCAACTGAATGAGATCAATCGTCTCATAATATTTACTGTAGTCGGCAACAACAAGAACCGAAAAACGATGGCTGACAACATCGGCTTCGCTCCTGGCCGCTAACACCCAAGCACAATCCACAGCACTCCTCCCCCGAATAGCCCCCCAGTACCCGCGGTCCAAAGAACCCAAAACATCTTTGAGCATGGGGCGGCGGAGCCTTTGCCAAATGCGATACACGCCAGAGTACAGTACGATTAGCCTATAACCGCTTGTCGGTTTCGGCAACATTGGCATTAAAACCCAAAGCAATTGTCGGGGCAGGAGACCTATCGCTTCGCAGCACTGCCAAAGTTTTGCAAGCACCATGAGGCCGCGATCATCTAGCAGCTGAAAATGCCGAGGGTGCAGTTGATCGAGAGCTCTTGATGTACCCTCAGGAAAGGACCGAATCACTTTACGTATGTCCTCAACGCTCGCAACTGGAAAAGACTCTCTATCAGGTATCCATGCCTGAGGGGGAATCGCTCCAGCTTTCCAGAGCGCCTTATACATACGAGCTTCATGCTGCACAACGCTATGGGGGTCAGCCGTGGGGCCTAAAGGATCATGGACGACCGTGGGGGGACACACACTCCGAACCTTGGTGATCCTATGTAGGCCCTTGGCTCCCCCTAATGACGCAGTTTCACACCAATCATTCCAATCTGCATCGGCTTCGCGATTAGCAGCTCTCTGGGCAGCTTCAACATCTTCTGTAATCTGCTCAAGAAACTCTAGAACAGCATCCTTATCAAGTTGCCCATCATGAAACAACTCACGTGCATGCTTACATGAGTTGTCTAGCCTAGCGCTGAGACCAAAGCCTGGATAGTCGTCAGCAGCAAAGGCGGCAACCTCATTAGCATATAGGACCTGCTGCTCGACATCCTCGTCGTGAGACGACATCTGGAGAAAGGTCTGCACAGCATTGCGCAACCAAGACCACCCCTCAGCGAGCAGAACCTTCTCCGAGATGTTGGGGACTGGGTAGTCCACGCTAACCCACCTCGGTGCTATATCTCTACCGAAGCCTGCAAAGTTCATAGCATCTGCGCCCGTGCACTCAGCTACGTACCTGGCAGTTCTTTTGGCGAAATGGCCCCAGGCAGCACTTAAAACTCCAAAAACCACCCCAGGATCAGCCTGCTCATCATGAGCCAACTCCGAACAATGATCGACG